CGGGGCTGATTTATCTATCTGTAGCTTTGCTTCATGAGTGAAAGGCAAAGAAAAATAAACCACTGTTGTCAAGTTGAGTCAATTTTATTAATTAATCATTTACATAAGATTTTGATTCTTTGCTTTCTGAAATTCATTTATACTTCTGTAAAACTTTTATCTTTGTGAAATTTGCTGCTGGTTCTCTGAATATTAAAGAAGATTGACATAAGAAAAGTTGGCAACCCTGCTGTAGACTAATTACAGTCAATCAGTTGCGTTCTCCCACTTTGTCAAAAGGTTTTCTTTTGAAATTGTTCGTTGGCTTTGTTTCCACCGTGCTCTCAGGCAGTAAGAGCCAGTTATTGCTCTGTTTTTTAAAAAAAGTGTTTCCTCGTGTTCCTTTTGCATCTCTTGCATGGAAATCTTCAAACATTGTCCCACAGTCATCCTATCGCAAATTCATGGGTTGTTTCCTCCTCTTTAATTATTTAAGCTTGTTAGAATTTTGTACATTGTATCAAATCTCTGAACTATACTCACTGATATCTGTCAGCCCTGGAACCATTCTAGTAAACCTCTGCACCTTTCCAAGTGCCATCACACCCATCCTGAAGTATGGTGAATCAAGTTTTCAATGACCTGCTTTAATAGACTTTCATAATCTAGCCTTGAATGTAACAACCAGCAAATTTGCTACATCTGACTTATGTCTAGTATTGTGAACTGCTGTACAGTTACAGTGGTGGATAGTGCTTCCTTAATTTTGATCACTTTTCAAACCGCCATATGACATAACTGCTTAATGGCCTCACTTCATTGCTGCAGACCAAAACATACCTAAAGTTTACGAAATACAATTAGGCTAAATATTCAAGTTTTCTTCGCAGGTTTGTGGGATTACATAGGGTCCCTGACTGACAAAAGTCCAAATTAAGAATGTGATTACATACCTGGGTGTAATTTTAAAGACAGGACATGGGACAGCTGCTTTAAGTTATCCTGACTTGTGAACCAACTCCAGACGGGAACTCATTCACAACCTGGTAACTGCCTTACAATCTATGTGGGAATTAGGCTTCAGAATGCTTAAATGAAGGAGAGATCACTGCTGTAATGGGGGAAACTTGTTTTGTTTTCAGGACAAGCTTAACTTGAGTTGCATTCACAATGCTGCAGTTGGTGAGCTGATGAGAGGAATTCGAACCCAAGTGAATGGACTAATCAGTGGATTGCCACCTCGTGAGATAAGTGCCATGTCTCTTGGCCTTGCGCACAGGTATGAGCCCCGTGTGCCAAAATGAAAAGGATAAGACCTATTTGCAGATTTTTAGTCAATTTCAGTTACTGTTGACAATGGAAGTTGATTAATTGCACAACCAGTTAGGAGCCACACGTGCATATAAAACGTTCAGTTACTTTAATCTGTGGTGTGTACTGTGACGCACCTCTGGGTCAACAGGGACTTGAACTTGGATCTTCTGGTTCAGGGGTAGGGACAGTACCATTGTCCTACAGGATCCTTCCTCTACAGCTGCGTGTAAACCTGTAGCAGGGTGGAACCTCTTGGAGGTAATTGCTGTGCAGAATTATCCATATCAAAGATAAGGCATTGGACAGGCTAATGCCTTTATACTATCATTGATAATGCAGAGCTTGATTGAGGCTGATGTGATATACAACCTGTTTTGGATAGATTTCAGGCTGTTGAAATAATTTGGTGCTATGTATAAATTGTATTTGGCAGAGGCATCTGCAATTCTAATTTGTAGAACCTATTTAGCTGTATTGGAATGTGATGGCCACGTGTTACTGCATAATGTGCGCATTTCTTGGTTTCTTGCAGTCTCTCCCGTTACAAATTGAAGTTCAGCCCTGACAAGGTGGATACTATGATTGTACAAGCGATTTGTAAGTTCAAGACACTAATCAGCATGCACATCAAATGTATTCAGTATTTGTACTAATATGAATATGTTTGGCTTGATGTAATTGTGGTTCACTGTCTTATAAATTACATAATGCAAACAGTTACTAGAAGGAATCTGTTTCCAAAAAATGGGAATGTCAGTATTTTTTTGTCCATCTCCATTTCTGATTATTTTGGCAGATGTATAAACCATTCTCCTCCGTTGAAAGTATTGACTGGAGTTTCTGTTGTTTGAATGGCTTTCCTACACACTACTCTGGCTTAAGATCTGAAAATGGCTCCTTGGGTGAAAATTAACTGTGAAGAGTACAATTCACAGTTTTCTCTCCATTTTGGAAATCTTGAAACCAAGAGTAGTAAAAATTTCCCTCGTTCTGCGTCTTTTTATTTGGTTTTTTTTCGTAAAGGAATATTTTTCTGTCTTTGTATGATACCATGCCTTAAGGGACATTAGGCACTGGATTTGAACAGTTTACATTATAGCACTGATTTGTGCTACTGAGCAATAGGGTGTAACAATCACTTAACTGGTTTCCCAGGAGTGACTTTGCAGTCTGCCCCATAGTTTTAGATTGGTTGAAGAAAAGCCAAAAGGCTGGAATATGTTGCTGTGCTTGTTAGCTTTTGAGTATTAGTAGTCTGGAGTGGAGAATAAAGAGCTAAAATGGTGTGTTATCTGATGTATGTTCTGTATCCTTTGCATCCAATGTTTGACATAATCTATATAAAGATGAGGGGTCAGGTTAATTTGTTTAAGAAGCAAAATCATGAATAAAAGGATAATGTGATTTTTTTTTATGCTCCTTGTTCTTACTGGTCTGTTTCCTATAGCTCTGCTGGATGATTTGGATAAGGAGCTGAACAATTACATCATGCGCTGCAGAGAATGGTATGGCTGGCATTTCCCAGAACTTGGAAAAACCGTTACTGATAACTTGGCGTACTGCAAGTGTGTGCAGAAATTAGGTACATGCCTATTATTCTTGCTTTAAGTTTATTCTGTCATGCATCCATTAAACAACTCCAGTGCAAGAGTGGGGAGAGCAAGTCAAAAATAGGAAAAGAAAAATCGATGTTGGACAGTACATTAGCAATTTGTGTGAATTTAATATGCCTAGATCCCCAGCACGAAGTGGGGCAGTAGTAGGATCAAAATAAATGTTTGATTTCATCATCATTGATCTCATTGTCATAGTTACAGATTGCAAAGTGACTGAGATTGAAAACATAAGCGTTTTAAGAAACTGGATTTAGATCATCAAACTGCAAAAAATGGTAGTAACTGATTAATATAGGGCTAAAGAGACAAAGGACCCTGTTTCAGAAAATGGAGGCTAGGAACAGTTTGGACAACCAGTAACTAGAAGGGATAAAACGAACTAGTAAGAGTTTTTCTTAGGACAGTTATTGCTAAGCAGAAATTAGATGTGCATACAACAGAAGTAATACAGTAGTCAAGTTGGATCTTAAACGTGCAGTTTGCTCAGTGCAAATTTGCAACATTTGGAGGATGTTAGAATACATTCGCAGTAGTTTTCTAATTTGTGCTGAAAAAACTGAAGTATAGAAATGACAGCTTTTCAGTCTCCATAAACAAACTGATATGGACTACTTCCTAAGGTCATTTGAAATGCTGTACAAGTATTTCTCCTATAATGCGATAGTTGCGTTTTTGTGACTTCGCACTATAGAAAATTGCGTTATCGGTAAATTGCTATATCTGTACAGCAGAAAGTTTGCGTTATCCAAACAGCATCCACTTTTCATCAATTGCATTACAACCCATTCATGTTCATGAAGTAGGTGTTATAACAGAGACACCTGTATTAAAAGATATGATCGATGAACAACAAGAATGTTGAAAAATAATTCATACTTTGCAAAGAATGATGGAATAAAAAGTTGAGAAGTGGCTATGGCAATTAGGAATAAATCAATTCAGTTGTTAATTGAATATAGTACAAAAGAATGCCATCTGCCTGTCACGTTCATGTCTGCAAGAGCAGCTGAACTGTTCTCACTTCTTTTTTTCCATATAGCCCTGCAAGTGTTTTTCAGGCTGTTACCCATTCCCTTTTAAAACTCAGATTCTGTCTTTGCCATACTCTCTCAGCCATTCAATTTGAATTGTTGTCCTCTGGTTTGTGATCTTTGTGCAAAAGTGAATAGTTTCTCTGGATCTACTGTCTAGACACCTCATGATCTTGAATCCTTCAATTGTCCCCTTAACCATTTCTTCTATTAAGGCAAATAGATGGAACTCGTCTAATCTATCCATGTTCTTGTTGTGCAGTGGTAGTGTCTTTATTGCTAGACTGAGGGGCCAGGGTTGAAGTCCCACCTGCTCCAAGGGTGTGTAATAACAGTTCTGAACAGGTTGATTAGAAATATCGGTTAAATTATAAATTGAAAAAAAAAATTGACACCTCTGGGGCCCTCTTGGCGTTGTGGTGGAGGTCTGTGGACTAGGAGACCCAGGTTCAAGTCCTACCTGCCTCAGGTTGATTCAAAAATGTCCATAAAAAAATTGAAGTCTCAGAAGGGCCTCTTGTGGTACAGTAGTCATGTGCCTACTTCTGTACTGGAAGGCCCAAGTTCAAATCCCACCTGCTCCAGAGGTGAATAACAGATCTGAACATGTTGATTAGGAAAAATGTTAAATTTAAAGGAAAAATGTTACTGAAGTCTGTAGGGGCTGTATTGTGGCGCGGTGGTTGAGTGCCTGCCCCTGGACCTAGAGGCCCTGGATCAATTTCAACATCCTCATTCTAGAGTTGTGTAATAAAATCTCTGAACAGGTTGATATTTTTAAAAAAAAACTTACTGAATGACCTCTTGTGCTGCAGTGGTAGTGCCCCTACCCCTTGGAGTGGAGACTTAGGTTCAAGATTCTACTGCTCCAGAGCTAGGTAATAACAACTTAGCGAATTGATTAGAAAATTACTGAAATTTCTGGTTCCTCTTGTGGAAGTGACACTAACCCTGGACTGAGAGACCCGAATTCAAATCCCACCTGCTCCAGAGGTGTGTAGTAACATCTCTGAACAGGTTATTAGACTAATAGGTTAATTTGTTTTTTCTTGGATGACCTATGTACTTTTTTTTGCAACACCTCTACTGCCTTCACACCTAAAGTATGATTCTCAGAATTGAACATTGTTAACAATTTGAGACTAAGCCAGTGTTTTGGGGAGGCAATGACCTAGTGGTATTATCACGGGACTGTTAATCCAGAGACCCAGATAATGTTCTGGGGTCCTGGGTTTGAATCCCACCATGTTAGATGGTGGAATTTGAATTCAATAAATATCTAGACTTAAGATTCTAACAATGACCATGAATCCCATTGCTGATTGTTGGGGAAAAATGGATCTGGTTCACTGATATCCTTTAGGGAAGGAAACTACTATACTTACCTGGTGTTGCCTACATATGACTCCAAACCCACAGTGATGTGGTTGGCTCTTACCTGCCCTCTGGCCAATGAGGGATAGGCAATAAATGCTGCCTCGCGAGCAACACCCTCATCCCATGAATGAATAAAAGTTTTGTACATCTCGATGGTAACTTGCTTGCTTTTGAACTTCTGCCTCTATTTCTCTAGAATCCAGGGTGCCTTATGATACGTGCTTTCTGAACTATCCCGCCACCTTTTTGTTTATTTGTAGAAACATGCCAGCTAGGGAGTTGATAAGCTAAGTTGGCTGGTTTGCGATGCAGAGAAATGCCAACAGCATGGGTTCCATTCCCATACTGGCTGACATTACAATACTGTCCTCACTGTCCATTCTTGGCTGAGGTTTGGCGATCCTCAGGTTAAATGACCACCAGCCCACTTCTAAAATGAGAGAGCAGCCCTATTGTCTGGTAGAACTGAGGCAATTTTGCATACCCTCAGGATTTCTATTCCTGCGTCCCCTTTAAAACTACTTGTTTTATTGCCCCCTTTCAATGTATGCCTTCAAATTTCTTCTGTCTATCTAGTAATTTCATGTTTGTAAAGACAGTTCTCTGTCACTGCATTTCTTCTGAGTTTTGTGCCTCATGTTGAAATTGTTCTGTAGGCACAAATCAAAGATGTGAATGTAGAACAGGCAAAGCACTCATCCTTACTCCAGCCCCTGGGGAACGTCCTTATAACCTTGCTGCAGTTTGGAAAAGAGCTGTTCATCGTTGTTGTTGCTGCCTGTCATTTTGACCAACTTTGATTTTTCCATCCTGTTTATTTTGGTGCCATTCTAACAGTTAAATCCTCCTACATGGCATTTTATCAAATCTCTTTGGAAGTCTACGTATACCATAACAGTAACTACTACCTACATCAATCCTCTCTGTTACTACTTCAAAAAGAACTTAAACGTGATTTGCCATTTATAAATCTATTTTCTCAATCCACATTTGTCCAAGTGGCGTAACTTATCTTGGATCATAGTTTTTAAGTCTTCCCATCATTGAAGTTAAAATGAATGACCTCTGTTTGCTATGGTTGTTTTTGTACTTTTCTTGAGTTAGGCTCTTGCTTACCACCACCTTCACTGATCTTTGTAGTAGCATCTTCCTTGGTAAAGACAGATTTAAAAAAAAAAAAAAAAAAATTGTATTCCAGTTGTGCTCACTGCTTCCATGTGTAAGTCCTTTTTAATCTCTCTAATCAACCTCGCCTTTCTTTTACAGTTGATGTATTTGTAGAATTTTTTATTTCTGTTTTGTCACCTGCCAAACTCTTGTATTTGCTTCTCTTTTTCTTTTCCCATTTCTGAAAATTTATTAACCCTATGTCTCGTTCTAGCAATCTGACATGCGCACATTTTCTTGTTTAATTTTACTTTTGTCTTTTACCACTTGAGTTCTTTTTGTTCTACCTTTCTGTCTCGTGATATACGCTGATTGTACTTAAACCAATGCCTCTTGGATGATCATGGTTTTTAAAAAGAAAAGCACTCATTTCACAATCTGCTGCAGGAGCAATTGAACCCATGTCCCCAAAGTCTTTATCTGGATCACTAGTGCAGTAACAATACCACAGCACCACAACCTCCAATTAATTCTTATTTACCTTAGCCAGATCGTTTTTATTCCACCTGAAATTGGCCTCCTTCCAATTAATTTTTTTAGTTGCTGGAAAAAGGTTGGAACCAATATCAGGCTCATAATGTGCTAACAGGACACTTCCAAAAAAAATCCTCGTGTAACTGAATTAAAATATAAATCTCTGACCTTTCGTAGATCATAGACCTGCTTCCACACTGCAGGGATTCTTCGACCCATCGAATCCACACTGACCCTCCAAAGAGCAAGCCACTCAAATCCTCCATCCCTGTAACCGTGCATTTCCCATGGTGCTGTGAGGCTGCTGTGCTAACCAGTGAGCCACCATGCTGCCCCAGTTTTGAGTTTTTAATTTGCGTAATGGTTAAGAGAATCATAAATGGATTTTGAAAATGCCTTTGTGTCTTAAAGAAGCACAATCCTTTGAATTAGAAGTAACAGAATTTATTGTAGTCTGCTAGAATGAGGTAAGATGATTTTTAGTCCATTGTGTTGATCACCCAACAGGAGACAGAACGAACACTGCTACCACAGATCTTTCAGACATTTTGCCTGAGGAGGTAGAAAATGCAGTGAAGGTTGCAGCTGAAATATCCATGGGGACAGAAGTATCTGAGGAGGACATTGAGCACATTATACACCTTTGTGATCAGGTTGGTGGTGTTGGTTATTTTGTTGAATCCTTATGTATATTTCAGAGGTATCATTTTGTTGAACTTTCTTTTTGAATGAAGAGGGTTTTTAGCTTTGTCCAAAAGAGAGCTTCATTTAGAATCTGCTGGGCTGCTTTGTGGTTTGCAAACTCTGTAAGGTTGACCAAATTCGTTCTACATTAAGCAGTCTCCCAGTGGGCAGTATCAATAAGTTCATGAAGGGTAGCCTTGATTGTACTAAGTGCTGTGATTATTTATCTCTGATACATAATCTATTTTTAAAATGTGTTTTCTTCCTTTCAGGGATGTGACCAGAGTCCCTGTCCAGCACTGGCAGCAGTGATGATTTTGTCAGTCTTGCTGATTGACTGAAGGTTTTCAGTCACTACCTCATCTGAGGCTGCCAGTGCTGAATTACATGGTCACTCTTACAGATGCACCAATGTAAGGTGCTGTATTCCTACTTTCACACTGCGTATGTTTACAAAAAGGCTTTCTGCAGATATCAAGATGTTTCTGGAGTAAGTCTGTATTGTGGTATTGTGACATGCTGAAAATCTTGTTACTAGTCTTTTTCATCACACCTACTCGAGTTGAATCTTCATTGTTCGAGCCCTGGCCTTGAGTGGCCATTTTGAATTTATGGGACTAGAAAGTAAATGTTTACCAGTTATTTACCTTTGAGGGCATTGAATGTTAACTTGTAGTAAATCATGTGACCACGCACTTATTTTTCCGTTCCGTGCAATAATCACCCTTCGCACCTGCTTTCCATTTTACTTGAGACACCAAAAACTTTTTGCTTATCCTTAAATATATTTAGCACAAAATATTGATAGCCTTTGGTAGAAAATTTCAAGGATTCATCACCCTTTGAAGAAATTTCTCCTCATTTCAGTCCTTGCCCATTATCCTGATTTTGCAAACAAAATCTTCATGTCTGAACTCATGCATTGTCCCTGGATGATTTACCAGGTGATCTTTTTGTTCAAGAGCTTTAATGTTTTCTGAGCGTAAGTGTTGGCCAACTCCAAGGCTTCCAGGCAGCTTCCTCTTAATGTATGGTATCTGGCCTCCTGGCTGCTACAGCTCTAATTTCCTCCTGATATACTGCAAACAAAATATATTGTAACTGCATTTTATTTCCCCTATTTAAATTGTAAGCAGCCCTGCTTTAGTTATGAGCTGCTATATTTTACTGTGTCTGGATTTGTGTATTGCCATGAAACTGTACAGTCTTGAAATTTTCCCTAGCTTCAGAATAGTTCCTTTTTCGATCTTTTAGTGATGGTTACACAGTCATCTTTTAAGATTTTGTTTCAAGATTGTGTTGAAGATTCGACTTCTCACACTCCAAAAGGATGGGTGGGATGAAACCATTTCTGTTTGAAATTGCGAAGTTGGCATCAACCATTCCATGGTTTGTTCTTAAGGTTATAAGCCATAAACTGAAGTAATCATGCTTAATGAATGACCTCCCCCCTCCAAACAAAAAACTTTTCATCAGATTTCTCCCCCTACAGCTTTGTACAAATCAGAACCAATGCAAATTATACAACAGGTGACAGGAATTTTGAATAATTTTTTTAGTTTAAAACATCAATCTAACAAAGATGCAGCTTTGGTAACCATGAAAACCCGCATTACTCCCTGCACAAATGTGACACTGTGTGCAATTTCAGTCTTTCCAGGTCCCTCTGACATGCAGGACCTCTCACCTCTCCATCTCAAACATTTGGCCCTCAAGTCACTTTTTGGTAGAATCTGTATTCCATCCAAGGTCTTCAGGCAGGGCTAACATCAAATATCTGAGAACCCTGTCTTGTTGGGATCATGTCAGTCCTGATGGTGCAGTTTCCATTTCAACTGACAGCTTGCATCTGGTCAAGTGTCTTGATGTTTGAGCTAAACACATTTTTAGGACTCAGATTCAGTTACTTTTAGTCCATGTGTGTATCATTGTTACAGGAGCTTATAACTCTACTTTTAGGTCCCCAAAGTCATTTTTGTCATGAGCTTTGCTGCTCGACTTCACAAATTCCCTTGTTCCTCTCTCTCTCTGCTTTTTCTTTTACGTTTGCATCTTTGTAACGGCCACCTTCTGTCGACAGTTCTCTTCTACTTGCCATGGGTAGTTTATGGTCTTAATTTCCTTCCTATTGATACTATTTTCAGATCAAGGGTCCCACGATCACATGGACCAATTTTTTTAATGTAAGAAATTGCTGTTGATTCCTTTACAATTAATGCAACTACTTTCAAAGTCCTTTTCAAACATTCATAAGAACAATGACAGATTGCTAAGACTTAGCAAATCAACTGCAGGCTCTCCTTAGTATTCAGGTTAAAGATCGTCCCAGCATGACTACATTCATTTTTGAGTGAAGCTCCTACACTGCTTTACCCTCTGTGTCCAATACTGTAATGTTAGTTTGTTCCTTGCAATCTAACATTATACATTTACTGTAACTATTTATTTCAGGTTTCTGGTGTGAATCAGTACACACTCTGAACTGGGTTTCAGACGGAGATTCAGCGCAAATCTATTGTGCTATCTTTCTGATACCTTCCTTTCGATCAAATTTTAGGAGATTTTGCATTTGTGATGTATTAAAATAGAATTTATTGCCGTTCTGTACATGACAAATTGCATTCATCCCATCCCTTCAAGGTAGTGCAGATCTCTGAATACCGCACCCAGCTCTATGACTACCTGAAAAACCGAATGATGGCTATTGCACCCAACTTGACTGTGATGGTTGGAGAGTTGGTTGGAGCCAGACTGATAGCACATGCAGGTAAGACATTTTGTGGTTGCTGGCTCACGAGTTCCACTCATTGACACCTATAATACTGGAAATGCTATTCGAACTTGCCGAGTAATTTTCCAAGTAAATTGAGAGGTCTGAGTTCAGAATGATATAACCATCCTTGTCCACAGTAGGGAGTGCCTAGGTGAGATAAAATGAGCAAACAGAAACCTATCCAATAACTGCATTTTCTGCTTGTGAGAATACGGATAAAGACTGGTGGGAAAATAGTCAATATGTAGACCGTGGCACTTCAGAACAGAACATAAGGTTTGCGTGGTAAACATAACACTGAAAACAATTTGAAAATGCACAGAATGGAAGCAAGTAGATTAACAGTTTAACACTATTCTTTATGGACAGTGCAAGGGAAAAAACTAAACATGAAGTTTTTAAAATCAGGAGAGAGAAATGGCAAAATAGAGTAAAACCTGAGATCAGAAGGACGCAGAGTATTTGTGGTCGAAATAAGAGTGCTTCATACTTACACATTGAATGTAACAAATTGAATGAATTGTAGGCGTATATTCAATTTTAAGCACGTGTCATGGTAATAATTACTGACATGGCTAAAAATGACTGGGATTGGGGCTAAATATGTCAGGTTATAAGGGTTCTTTTAAACTCATATCAGTCAAAGGATGTGGACATTGTTTTCTCGGAGAGTAGTTATTGTTTATCCCTAATTGGCCTTGAAGATGCTGATCTGCCACCTAGAACCATTGCAGTTATTTAGTATAGATACACCCACAATGCTGTCATGCTGTCAGGATTTTAATACAGTGAAGAAACTGGCAAATTTCCAAATGAGGGTGGTGAGTAGCTTGGAGGGGAACTTGCAGGTGATAGTGTTCCCATGTATTTACTGCCCTTGTCCTTCTAGACGGAAGTAGTCATGGAGAGCATTCCCTCTAATTTACTGAATGGGTGCATGAGACTCTGAGGCCCGTGTGTGACTGCACCATCTGGAATCAGAAAGCAATGCTGCAATCGGTATGCACAGAACATTAGAGTCGCTGCATTCACGTGGAGGAAGTGGATGTGGTGCTATTCATTTGGGCTGCTTTGTCCTGGATGGTGTCAAGCTTCTTAAGTGGTGTTGGAGGTACACCCATCCAGGCAAGTGGGGAGTATTCCATCACACTCCTGACTTGTGCCTTGTAGGTGGTAGGCTCATTCAGGAGATAAGTTAGTTGCTGCATAATTCTGAGCAGTGGCCTGCCCTTGAAGTCAAAATTATATGGCCAGTCAAGTTCCGTTTCTATTTAATGGTAATTTCTAGGACGTTGATCATAGGGATTTGGTGATGGTATAGAAGAGGGCTAGATCATTTTGACAGAAGGGTTAGGGCGGCAGTGGTTAGCACTGCTGCCTCACAGTGCCAGGGACCCAGGTTCAATTCTGTCCTCGGGTGATTGTGTGTGGAGTTTGCACATTCTCCCTGTGTCTGCATGGGTTTCGTCTGGGTGCTCGGTTTCCTCCCTCAGTCCACAGATGTGCAAGTTAGGTCGATGGGCAATTTAGCACGGCCAATGGTGTTCAGGGATGTGTAGATTAGGATGTGTTATTCAGGATGGGTCTTGGTGGGCTGCTCGGAGGTTAGTGTGGACTTGTTGGGCCGAAGGGCCTGTTTCCACGCTGTCGGGATTCTACATATAAACAATATGCATTTAGTGGCACTTCTAAACTATGCAGGGGCACAGTGATCTGGGAGTTCATGTACATAGATCTTTGAAGGTGGCAGGATACAGTAAGCGCAATTAGTGAAATGTAAGAGAATATTCACTTCATAATAGCAATATTAGTACAAAAGTGGGGAATTTAGGTTGAACCTCTTTCAAACCTTGATTAGGCCACAATTGGAATATTGCAACTGGTTCTGCTTGTGGCAATTTTGGAAGGATGTGCGGCCCTTAGGGAAAAAATGCAGAGGTGCCAAAACGGCTTTTGGGTTTAGGGATTTTAACCCCAAGGATAGGTTGAAGGTTAGATTGTTATCCTTGGAACAAAGGAGTTTGAGGGAAGTTTTGATTT